AAAAAAAAAAGCTACATATAACGAAAACTTTCTGTTCTCTTGACTCAAATAAAATGTTGCTGTAGGTCTTCAGAAAAAAAATGTCATTGTCGTAGCATCGGTGCTGCAGATTCCAGTTCCAGTAGTTCAGGAACTTCAGATAGCGGCAGTAGTATATACAGTTGGATATCTATAGGATCAAGTAGGTATAAAGATCAGCTTGATCAACTGCTTGAAACCATACCGTTCTACTATGGAAGTATGCTGGACGATGTCGAAATACAGACACAGCTGCTTGCTAAACCAGGTGGAGGTTTACTAAAGCTTTCTATCGCTGCTTTTTTCCAGTTCGTAGTTCTGCTAAAAATGAATTCACTTTTATACATAACAGTCCTTGTAGTGTACTTTAGGAGATGCCTTTCTGATCTCATTTCCGTTGGGCAGGGAAGATGTAGATCGTCGACGTACAGCCTACAAAAAGTGGCATCTTGTCGTGCTAAAAACGAACAACATTATATGTAAACTTAAAGTATGTTCTCTCAGACTGTCGCCTAAATATTCCCAGTCAGATAAAGTTATATATGCCGTTCTTACGCTGGAATTATTTATATTTATATTAGATTAGTTGACAAATTTACTCTTTAAAATTGATCCTGATTTCCTCTAGTAAATTCAATAAGCAATTTTTACACTACTGTAGCAACGCTTACTCCTGAAATAGTAAACTGAAGCTGTAATATTGAAAATGAGAAAAAACCTCTGGATGTAATCAATTCGGATGAAAGGGAACCGAATTATTTCTACTGGAACTTTTCCACGTGGATGTCTCCAAACAGCTGTTGAAGCAGGTTTTGTAAAAGGTTGTAAGAAGCAGAGGATAGAGGAACAGTTTGTTGGGATAATAGAGTAGAGGAGTTCAAATAGTTCATTAGTGAACTAAATAAAAACTAGTTTCCACTTCCTTCAAACCTGTAAAAACTTTAAAAAAGTCCCTCTTATGTACGTTGTAGACTATATACCGTAACAACACACTTCAAGTCGTTGCTGAAAGCGGTTCATCATTAACAGATTTTATCAACGAGTGGTCATTAAATCCAGTCGAACGAGTATGGAACATTCAGCCATCGCAGGTTGTAGAATGTTACTAGAAGTTGTAAAACTACTTATACTTCAATTAACTGTCATTTCGTGATAACACCTGTAATAAACAACTAATCGACTTAGTTGACGCCAAAATTAGCAATTATACCGCAACAAGTCTTCACTATCAACACCGGAGCGTTTCAACTTGGGACACTGCAGCAAATAACTTTGAATTTCGATGAATTTCGACGAGTCCCCGCAATACAACTCACCGTACAAAACTGCAATGCTGCCGAAGTTGATTTACTAATTTTGGATGCCGAACGCTTTAAACGTTTCGGATCAGTGCAAGTTTCTTTATAACTTTTTCACCACTTTCTTTTTTTTTTTTTTTTGCCTGCACTCCTACTTGGTCTAAACAGGAAAAATTGATTCTTCTTACTTTTTTTTGTTAAGAGACAGGTATTTCTTATACATTTCGATCAGCTATACCTGTGTTTCCTTACTGCAGTACTGTTATACTGTCTAAATTAAAATGACTTTACAGACGAATTTGGCGGCTTTGGGGGATTTGCAAGCATCCAAATGATTCTATATCGCTTGTTCTTGAAGACGTTGTTTATGGCTCTGTTGCTGAATATGTCCGAACAGGTGACAGGAATTATCCACAGGTAGTTTCCTCAAGTTTGTCATCACCGATTTTCTCAGTTTACTGAGAAGCTCAGGTGACGCATTAATAAAAAAACGTATTAATTGGTTACAGCTGTGTAACTTTGCCATTCAAATGGCCGAAGGAATGCGGTATCTAGAAAAATATTCGTTCATACATCGACGGATGACGTTCGACATCTGCTTGCTTTGTTACGATTACAACATTAAAATTGCTGTTTATGGATTAACTGCTGGAGAGTTGTGTGCTACGTCCAACGATCTCACTGATATCGAGCTGTGTAGGTGAGACATGAGATAAACAATAATCAATCTATCAACCTCTTTTTGGATTTTCCGTTTCTTGGTCAGCACTAATACAGCATAAGTCTAACATAAAACATTTAATCCCCAATTTCCATTCAAAAGAAAAAAATTGAGAAATATCACTCTTCTCACAGCCAACTTGACGCCCTTCTACGTTTGATACAGAACTTTAAGCATTATGCTCATTTTCATAAAAAAACCTCATCAAGATGGATGACGCCGCGCTGTTTACCGATGTCGGGTACTACACCAAGCAAATACGACATGTCGGCAATGGTATATTCCTTTGGAACAATCTTATGGTCAATGTTCCATGGAGCCAGGCAGCCGTTCTGTGGTGAAGAAGAAACAAATATCAAGAACCGCCTATATCGTTCAAACCACTCCTTAGAAATAGACGATCAGTTGGTACCTAACAAGATGAAACAAGTAACTACTAAAATTTATGATTTTTTGACAGCACTACGTCCCACGTTATTTCGAATTTATGTCACTGAGAAATAATTAGTTCAAGTAAACCATTACTAAAAATAACCTTTTCCAAAAAATGAGATGAAAAAGTGACCTTGTTTCTCAATCACCAAACCATTAACGAATAGAAACTGTCAGTTTTCGCATAATTTTAGAGCGGTATAAAATCTTAGGCAATTTCCAAACTATCAAATAAAACCTGGAAAAATTTTTAAAAAAAACACTCATAGCTTGAATTAGGACAGCAGAAAAATTTGATACAGTCGAATTATTAATTTCTCCTCAAAGCGTTTTTGATAAAAATGATTTGTCATTTAAAGATTATTCTACGGTGCTGGAATGAAGAACTGCCGTCTCGTAGATTCCGAGATTTGTTGAGGGCATTAAGAAAAATTCGTGACGAAGAACAGTGACACTGCCTCCGGCCTAAGAAGTTCGCTTCTGTTGAATCATGCTAAACAAACGCCATATTTTCAAAATTTGAAAACCATGTTACATTTTACGCCATTTTCTTCAAATTTCTTCTTCAAAATAACGGGATCAAACTTGAGACAAAGACCACTGTTTTATAATAGTAACGTTACTTGCACATTTCAACATCCTCAAAATGATTGTATTCTTCCTCAACCACTTCATTACTCTACATACTGATACGGTTTGTGATTATGTGAACCAGATTTTTCGAATCAAACAATTCCAGTCCATAAGGCAAATAGTACAGTAAAACAGACAGTATTAATCTGAAGGAAAATACAAACGAAAAGCTCTATAATAATCAACTAATAATAATGCTCCCTAAATTTATTTATACGTTTTTGATTGTGAATGAAATACACAAATTCAAGTATAATAGATCTTTTACGAACTAGAAGAAAAATAGAAATGTTGGTAGATATATTTTGTTGGGTATTATTGAAAAAAGAAAAAAAAAGAAAAAAAAAAGTCCTCGTACAATTATATCAATTAAAAAGATCGAAAAGGGTGAAAGTATTCAGAAGACGGCAGCCAATTATTCAAGTATAGCAAATGTTCATTTCAAACACAGAAAGGCACGCCACGGTACACTGAAGTCGCTGCATGGAAATTGCT